TTACTACTAGTAAGGCACCTGTTACTAGTAGCGATGCAGTTGTTACTCGTAGCTTATTGTTACTACTAGTAAGGCACTTGTTACTAGTAGCGATGCACTTGTTACTAGTAGCTTGTTGTTACTACTAGTAAGGCACCTGTTACTAGTAGCGATGCACTTGTTACTAGGGCACACCGTGTGGTGAAATGACGTCGGTGATGTCGGGAGACACGCTGGTGTAAAGTGGCGCGTGTGGCGGAATGACGTCTGTAATGTCGCTGTGCCGTGCGGTTTTGTGCGGCTGCGGTGGAAAGTGCGGTTGCCTGAGTCCGTGCCATTGAGGGAGGGCAAGCATAATGGTGTATCTTTGGCGTGTCCATGGGGAGCGGGGAGATTGGCGGTTCACGGGGCTTGGTGTTGCATTGTTGTATCTACTCTGTTTGCCACTCACCTCTACACACATATACAATTCAGCCAAAAACTGGCGTGCTCGCGTTTCCACGCTCGCGGGCCATTCGTCGTGTAGTTCGCGTGTCCTGTAAACTGAAACAACCCTCGGTTCAGAGTGACGAGCCTCACTTCGTCACATGCTGCGGCATCACAATGCCAGTGAGGAGTCATGGGAAGTGGTTGGCGGCTACGCAACAATGTAGTTTTTGGCCGATTGGAAGCCTTCGGGGAAAGAGCTGCCTTCTCAGTTCTATTTTAAAGAAGGAGGACCTACCCAGACATCCCAGATTGCTGTAATTGTGGCAAATTCCCAACGTTTCGGGTTGCTTGTGAGGTCTCTGATATCTTGGATTTTGTGAAGACCGTCCTGCAATTCCATAAGCTTGAGCGAGTCGACATTGGAGGCGCAGATTTTATAGTCCCAAACACACGTTGTGTTTTGAAGTAGGGCCCTGCAACCAGCTTCAAAACGGAAGATTGTCACAAACTCCTTATTGAATCCGTACTTCAAAAGACAAAACACTGAACAAATGCCCAATCGAACAGTTTCCTTTCCCTGTGGAAAACTCTTGATTACTTATTATCCTTCGCTGGTAAGATTTTCATCAATTCAACAAAAGGACATCGAAAGGGTACAATCTAAGTACGAATTAAACCCGAAGAGGGGTGCAACATGATTTGGTGATGGGAACCACTTCAAAACCAGACCAGACGCGCAGTGAAGAACGGAGTTAGATTCCTCACTTGTAAGATTTCCATCAAACTAAGACATATAAAGGCTTTTGAAAGGGCACGGTTTGACCGCAAGCAAAAGAGTGTGCTGTCATAGGGGAAATACATGGACTTCTTAATACATCCAACACCCAGAAAAACGACAGGGGATTTCACAGTTGGAACCCACTAGTTGGAGTTTTCCAAGGGCACAAATGGCCTTCAGCCTAACAGCAATGGCCTCCAACCTAAGAGCGATGGCCTCCAACCTAAATGTGTTGAACATTGAAATGATATGTTTATTGTAAGGAACTTGGATGATTGCCGGTTGTTGTCAGTGGTCGCTTCTTATCCGCCTGAGCGAACGTTGTCCACTTCCGAACGAAGTGAGATTTAGGGGGG